TCATGTCAAAATGTAAGCCCCAATGTTGGAGGTGGGGCCTGGTGGGAGGTGATTGGATTATGAGTGTGGATTTCCCTCTTGGTACTGTCATCACAATAGTGAGTTCTCATGAGATCTGGTTGTTTAAAAGGGTGTAGCACCTCCCAACCCTCTCTCTCTTGCTCCTGTCCCAGCCATGTGATGTGCCTACTTCCACTTTGCCTTCGGCCATGATTGTAACTTTCCTGAGGCTGCCTGGAAACCAAGCAGATGCCAGCATCATCCTTCCTGTATAGCCTTCAGAACCATGAGCCAATTAAACCTCTTTTCTTTATAAATTACCCAGTCTCAGGTATTTTATTACAGCAATGCAAGAACACACTAATACAGACTGTATTCTAAAAACAGGTAACGATTTCATTTTTCCAGCTCTGCTCATCCATTTCTAGTCCCCCATTCCCATGAGTTACGTAAATACAGATAGCACCTGCACCACAATAGTTTCTTTGAATCTTGTGCTCATTCACTGCAGGAACACCACACTTCCTTCTAGTAGTACTGTAGGAAAACAAAAAGAAACAAGATGAACACTGGCATGCGTTTTCTGGGGTGTAGCCCTTAGAACGGTATCCTAGTTTCAGTACAAATTTCTCTCTTTCATGTTTGGTGTCTGGCTTGGAGATTTTTTGCGGGGAGAAATTTTTGTATCTCTGCTTCTGAAGTCAATCCTTTAACAGTAGTTGTGTGTGTGTGTGTGTGTGTGTGTGTGTGTGTCTGTGGATAAGGTCTCACTATTACTGCTCAGGCCAGTCTTGACTCCTGGCCTCAAGTGATCCTTCTACCCTGGCCTTCGCTTGAACGTTGATATTTGAGTACATGACCTGTATCATTGAAGACCAGCTCTGTTCCATCAAGATTTGGCTTTCTAGACCCTAGCTGGCTCATCGCCCAGTCAAGTAAGAATCAAAGGTCAGAGCCTTCTTGAGAGCTGAGTACAGGGCTGTTGTCTAAAGCTGTAGTCCAATCAATTACACCCTAAAGTGGTGCCCAAATGTACCATTTAACTCACCACGATGACTGCACTGGTCCATTGCGCAATGTTGCCAACTCCTCTTAGCTGCCTAAAAGATCCTTTTTAATGCTTTTTTCTACTGGTCTGAACAGTCTGATTTTTTGTACCTTCATAAAATCCTTCACATCTAGAGTGGTGTGGTACCAAAATAATTTCTGCCCCACTGATCACTCACTGATGAGCACTTTGATCAATTAGCTGAACATTTAAAGAAAATTGTAGTGTTGATAAAGAAAACTAATCTCCACTCATTAAATTAATATTTTGGTGCTGTTTTAGAACTTCTGTCTGGGCACATTTTTTACAGCAATAAAAATTATTAGTGAGTTTTCATTATTAGCCTTCCTTGTAGATAAGGTAATTGAAGTGTAGGGAGTTTACGTAAATTCTGCAAGACTTCACAGCATATAGTGGTAGAGTTGGCACACAAAACCAGGTCTCTCTGGCCCCAGTTACACATATTTCAACTTAACGCACATTTAATCCAGTTGAAAAAGCAGACGTATGTGAAGAATGTGATTCATAGATTCATACCTGATATTTAGATTCCAGGTGCCTTTACCAGTGAGTCTAATCTATTCATTATAGCCGACCTGACAAGACTTGGAAATTAAGATATTTGTCTGAATTAGTTTGTGTCTTTGAAGAAAATGTATTTCTTTAATGGTATCACAAAGTCCAATTTTTCATGAAGTAAAAATTTCTATCAGCCAATTCATCCTCATTACGAAGTTAAAAAAATGTATATGCAGCTGGGTGCGGTGGCTTATGGCTGTAATCCCAGCACTTTGGGAGGCCGAGGTGGGCAGATCACCTGAGGTTGGGAGTTCGAGACCAGTCTGACCAACATGGAGAAACCCCGTCTCTACTAAAAATACAAAATTAGCCAGGCGTGGTGGCACATGCCTGTAATTCCAGCTACTCAAGAGGCTGAGGCAGGAGAATTGCTTGAACCCAGGAGGTATAGGTTGCAGTGAGCTGAAATCGCACCATTGCGCTCTAGCTGGCAGCAAGAGTGAAACTCTGCCTCAAAAAAAAAAAAAAAAAAAAAAAAAGTGTATGCTTGTATAATATATGTATGTGGGTATTTTGTTTCCCATATACACACATATAAGTCCAGTCTTGAAATTTGATATTTGTTCCTGAATTTTTCTTTTAGGATGGAAAGGAATTTCATTTTCTGAAGATACTGATTTAAAACGTTGGTTTTCAATTTGAGTTTATCTAGCAGCTTGCCTTGTGGCTTTGACTAAGACAATTAATTCCTGGGCCCTCCAGTTGTCCACCTAAAAAATGGGAAGGAAAGCTGTATTACTGTTTTTATATATATTTTTCTCTCATGGAAGTAAAGACTTACAAGTGGATTTTTAAAAAATATATTTTATTTGAAGTTCTGGGGTACATATGCAGAATGTGCATGTTACACCTATCAACCCATCACCTAGGTATTAATCCCCGCATGCATTAGCTATTTTTCCTGATGCGCTTCCTCCCCCAACCTCCCTGGGAGGCCCTGGTGTGTGTTGTTCCCCTCCCTATGTCCATGTGTTCTCAATGTTCAGCTCCCAATTATGCGTGAGAACATGTGGTGTTTGGTTTTCTGTTCCTGTGTTAGTTTGCTGAGGATGATGGCTTCCATTATAAGTGGATTTGACATAACCAATTCTTTGTCCTTAAGTACCTTGTCCTCTCATGGCCTCTGTCACTTGCTATTCAACAGAGATAAATCAATCCTGCTCATGTAAACTCCATAGCATACCTACTGTTCATGTCTGTATCTGTAGCATCGTCTTCATGGAGCATCCAGAACTCTCTTTTCCTTATAAATATTTATTTTCCAGAAATATCAGAATATACATAACAAGGAAAACTTAAGGCCATCTGAGATATACCTGTTTTAAGGAAGCTGGTGTAAGTGTCGCTCCAGAGTGCCCACAAGGTGGCAGCGTCTCAGAACATTAGGCCAGTGGAATTACTGGGTCCTGGCCTTGGCGGTTGAACTGGGCTTCATAGCTCAGTTATACTGAGATAAAAGGGTTAAGTGTCTGCCAAGTGATAGCTACTGGGAGATCCACCAGTCTCTAGAAGTCTAGAAAACCAATTTTTGACAGTATTTTCTAAAAAGCAGTAGCAACATCACTCTTCCATTTTAGAGTACTTTATTCAGAAAAAAAAAAAAAAAGCTTTCAGAATGCTTTATTTCACTTAAGAATGTAAAACCTACATTGGTGAGAAAAAAAAAAAAAAAAGGAGGGAGTGGACTCTTCCTTATATTTTCCTGTCATTCAAAGTCATTGATTCTCAACCTCGACTTTACATTAGAATATTTTGGGGAACTTTTAAATCACTCTCTGGGATAAGGGCCCAGAGATTAATTTTTGAAAGCACTGTAAGTGATTCTAAAGGGCATTCGGGGTTGAGAATCATCTTTTCAGTTCCTCTCCGTCCATTCATTCATTCACTCACCATTTATTGCATACTTCCTCATGTCAGCTTTGAGCAAGGAAATGGTGATGATGTAAAATGAGATTCCACAATTGCCCCCAAAGACCTTGCAAGTTAGTAATTCAATTTGATGGAAGTCAATTCAGCAAACATTTATCAAGCTCCTAGAACATGACAGGTACTATGCTAGATACTGAAACGGCAGAGATGAGAGCAATTCCAGCTGCCTAGCATTTATATTCTAGTGGACAGTGTGTACAACTTAGTATCAGATGAGGCAGAATGTGGCATTATTCATCTTTTACCTTTCTATAACATTTCACAGTAACACAAAACATTTTAACCAACTTATATAACTTAAGCTATATAACCCAATAATTCTTGAGATTTGCAAACAGCTAGCTATCATTATCTGAAGTTCAGAGAGAAGACTAACATGCTTTGCCAATATGAAGCAGAATAAGTCATCATATCCAAGCCTAGGGACTCTACGATCAGTGCTTACTGCCTCATTTATGCTAGGCGTGGGGCTCAGAAAAGAGTGGTAGATTCTGAATGCATAAGTGAAGGTATTTGTCTTACGGTATATTTGTGCATTTGTCTTGGAGATTTTATTTCTGAGAGAGTGAGTAGAGAAGATCATTTCTGTCTACATATTTCCTGAGATACTTCCTCCACCTAATCAAAGGCCTTTTCTGCTCCAGTCTTAATGTATATATTCTTTCTATATGCTCTCCTTCTAACTTTCACCAAAATGGTGAGCTCTAAAATTGCTCTGGATGTCTATTTCTGTGAAGAGAAAACTGAAAACATTTAGTTCTATCAGCAGATCTGGTTGTCATCAACTGCTGTCAATCACAGAGAGCTTTAATGAGGGGAGTGAAAATTAGTCCAAATGTATGTAAAGAAGGCATACGAGTCTTATTTTTCAGAGATCTCCATTCTTTCAGCTAATAGAGTGTGAAGCCAAATGCCATCTGGATTAGGACTGGCACATGAGATAGTTGATCATGAACATTTTTTAAGAATTAACCTTATGATAGATTTGGAGAGTTGACTCGTGAGGGAGTCAAGCATGGGTGAATATCTTCCTTGTGTGGAGAACCAAAATGATATGGACATCCTTTAGGGTCAATAAGCATAGGAAGATATTCCCGGGTAGCTTGTAGGTTTTATATTCCCACAATAGCAGAGAATCCACTCAGTGGTTGACTTCCAGATGATTCGTGGCCTCTCTATTATACAGAAGACTCTTACTAAATATCCCACCATGGCACTGTGGAATTGTCTGTCCTTTCCCTAAATGCTCAGCTTTATTAGGACTGTCAGATTTAGGTGCCATAGCCTAAGAGAAGCACGAATCAATTGGAATATATCCAGCAGAAAACATTCATATGATGAATGTGAACATCATTTTAAAGAACAATTGAGAAGCTGTGAAGTTTTAACCTAAAGCAGCAGAGACCCAGAAATGCAAATGCAAGCACAATAAAGTCAAATGTGCAAACATCTATTTGTGCAAAAGGGGGTTACGCTTGTTCTGTCCAGTTCCAGAGAGAAGGAAAATGACCAGAGGTGGAAGTGACAAGGGGGAAAATTCCAGCTTATCTTGATATGGAAGAACATTAGAATTGAGCAGTAGAAGCAGTTGCTTCACAAACCGCCTGTTTTCAGAAGTGTTCAAGAACACTATGTTAAGAATGTCAAAATTCAGCAGGAAAGCCCTTCAGTCGCAGGAGTCAGCAGACCCGGGAATTTGGGAGCCAACTGAATAATTTTTGGACCCATGAATTAGAAGAGAATGGCCTTGGCCTTATGCCAACAGGGAATACTTTGAGGACTCCCACTGTCCCTGTTTTGGGCCCTGAAATCCTTGTGTTAGTCATTTTTCTAGTTAGCAACTCTTTGAAGGCCTCAAAGACAGATGTGATAGCAGTCCTTTATCCAGGGGCTGAGACCGATCCCTGCCTAATCCAACAGTTAGGACTTAGGAGAGGGGACTCTGGTAGATTTGGTCCAAATTAACAAGCATGGCAAAGGCTGATATGAAGCCTGGGGAGGAGGAGGTTCTGAAACTAAGAGCTGTGGGTGCCAAGTACCCACAGCTTGGCCCTAGTTGTCACTCCTGCCATTTGGAAGCTCACCTTTAAGAAGAGATGCTGACATCTTAGCAAGGCTGCAGTGTCCGCTGCTACTCTCGGAGCTTCGCAATGCCGCCCAAGGATGACAAGAAGAAGAAGGACACTGGAAAGTCGGCCAAGAAAGACAAAGACCCAGTGAACAAATCCGAGGGCAAGGCCAAAAAGAAGAAGTGGTCCAAAGGCAAATTTCGAGACAAGTTCAATAACTTAGCCTTGTTTGACAAAGCTACCTATGACAAACTCTGTAAGGAAGTTTCCAACAATAAACTTATAACCCCAGCTGTGGTCTCTGAGACACTGAAGATTCGAGGCTCCCTGACCAGGGCAGCCCTTCAGGAGCTCCTTAGTAAAGGACTTATCAAACTGGTTTCAAAGCACAGAGCTCAAGTAATTTACACCAGAAATACCAAGGGCGGAGATGCTCCAGCTGCTGGTAAAGATGAATGAATAGGTCCAACCAACTCTACATTTGGAAAAATAAAACTTTATTAAATAAAAAAAAAAGAAGAGATGCTTACGTCTATTAGACTTTTATCATGGTGCATCTGGAAGTTTAGCTTAAAGAAATGATGACTCAGAAGTGGGAGTGGACATATGAGAAAGGCCCATTAGGTAGAAGAAGGGTTAGACTCTCTTCACCCAGCACTAGAGGAAGGAAAATCACCAAGGGTGGATATGTTGAGGGGACCAGGTTTCAGTATAATCAATAGCTGGGGGGACTTTAGAACTACTGAACAGTGGAAATAGCTGCTTTACAATAAGTCCAGTCTGTAGAGATGTTTAGGGACAGGTTTTCACTTCAAGAGAAGGAGCCATCATTCATTCATCATTCGTCTTTACTGAGTAAGAATTGAGATTAAATAAACTCTAATGTAGGAATTTGGATAAAATGTATTTTCTTGAAATTTTGTGAAACTACAGAACACTATTTATTCAACATTCCTGGATGCACTAAAAAGAATAGTTCTCCACAGGTATCTATAATTCTGATTGAATTGTCTGTGCCAGAAGACACTGTTGTCTCAGCTGAGGGCAGAGACTATGTATTTTTCTCTGAATCCCTAGCCCATAGGACACTGCCTACTATAGAGTAGGTATACAACAAATGTTTGTTGAGTGAATGTCAAATTAATTTTGTTAATTCTATTGCTCAAACTTGGACCGAGTCCCCTCTGGGTGTAAGGTATGCCTACTCAAAATATATTGATAGCTAACATTTATCAAATTCTTGTTATTGGCTAGGTGCCAGGATTTCATACACTATCTCATTCAATCCCTATGACCAACCCTCTTAAAAAGATCAAGTAGATGCTCTCACTACACCCTTTTTACTAATAAGGAAACTGAGGCATGCAGAGACCAAGTAGCTCCCCCATGGTTACACAGAGAGTGACTCGATGATACAAGATTTAAATTTGGGTTGTGTGACTCCGAAGCCAACACAGTTCATTATTACAGTATAGTCTCAGTAAAGGAGTGATTCTTAATAGGCTAAAATATTTTTAAAATATAGCTAACAATTATTGCATGCTTTCTATATGCCAGGTCCTAAGCATTTGTCCATTTATTCCTCACATTAGCCTCACAAGGTAGGTGCTATTATTGTGCCCATTTTACAGATAACAAATAGAGTCTAGGATTTTTGGATTTGGGCTTATCAGACTGTCAAACTTATCCTCCAAATGTTATATGATCTTCTTCCATTTTTAGGGGTACTGAAGGAACAAGTATCCCCCAAAATAGAAGAAGAACAAGACACTGAAGGAGCAAGAACATTTTGGGGGATACCGAAGGAACAAATCGTGACTCCTCTTCTGTGAAGCGTGTGTGTTACTTTAAGAAAATTATATTTGGATTTGACCTGTCACTGGATCTCGGCTCATCCAACACTCTGTTAGGATAGGACCATTCCAAATGCTCTTTATGCATGCCTTCTGGGTATCAATTAGCTATGAGTTCAGAGGCAGGTTAGAGGTGACAAGGAAACTCACAAAGAACTGAAAAATTAGGATCAAATGGAGATGGGTTCGGGTGAGGCTCACTATTGCATTAGCTATAGGAATAGCTAATAAAGTCCCATATTTGGAGGTCACTTAACCTCTGCATAGCCTAGTTTCACCATCTATAAAATGGAGTAGCAGGAGTAATTATACCCCTTCCTTCTTATCCATTTTCTAATTAAAACTTGTAACTTTTTAAATGGGAAGAATCAGGTGTATTATAAGACAAATGGAATTAGGTGGAGAAAAACTCGTGCAAGCCTCATTTTGTGATGTAGCCTAACTTTGCTTTATGAAACTAAGTCTACCTCAAAAGGGCATTGATGCCTCAGAATTCCACAAAATATGGCCCCTGACTCAGAGCTGGAAGAACTCAACCAGATAGATGGGCAGACTTAGATTGTCTTGGGTCTGGAGCTTATACAAATTTTGGACCCTCTTTAGGTAAAAGAATACAAAATTAGACACAAATGAGATTTTGTCACAGATTTTTAATGTGGATTAAATTAAGTCACATAAGAGGTAATTCACTCCTTTTAAAATACCTTCATCTAATCAAAATCAATCATACTTCTGAAATGATTCCTGATCTCATACATTAAGTTGAAATCAAAGGCTGTGGATCACGTTATAATATAATGAGCTTGGCTTTGTGGAAAGAGGCATAGCTTCACTCTTCCCCCATTGGTTTTATATATTTGAGGTCAAAAGCCTTCTTGCTGAGAAAAAGAGAAAAGGGCTGATAAGTGCAAGAGTGCATGTGTGCCTGCAACAGCAGTTTGGTGCAGGGAGTTCTGGAGGACAGCCAGGATGTGAGCCATGGCAGAAAATCAGGAGGAAGCTTGGCATTCACCACATTAACCTTAGGCATCACCTGGGCAAGTCACTCATCAAGAAAACAATCTACCTCTCTTGGCCTAGGAATCTCTCTTGAGTGCTTCTAGGCTGCGAGTGTCAAACGGTTCTTTAGAGATGCTGAGCAGAAGAGGATTTTCCATTTCGCCTTTTGGTCTTCCCTTCTACCTCTTTCAATGAGGACTTGTGCTGCCTCCTGCCGGAGTGTTGTAAGGAAGATTAATTACCTAATATCGGTTAAGGGCCTTTGATGATGACTGCTAAGTGTTTGCACCATGTAATTGCCATTTTTTCCAAGGAAATACCCATATAGTTACTAATTAGGCATTGTTGGAGCACCTCATGCCCTATTATTTTACAGTTGTCTTGTAATTAACTGGCATCAGTTCCATTTCAAATGACATTTATTGCCCATTTCCCTGGTTTAATTTTTGGAAATTTTATGGGAAGCCTGGGCATTGTTTCTTATTCACTGCAACTTGAATAATTAACAAGGTAAATATGGCTTTGGGTGGTGATATTGTCAACAACAAGACTTCTTTAGAGATTTTAATTAAGAACACTACTGCTGTACTTTATGTGAAACTTTATTACGGTGTCTAAGCACTCTAAGCTCTCCTCCATTGTGGATTGTGGCTCATATCTGAGCGTTTGTGCCTGTGTGTGTGTGTGTGTGTGCGCGTGTGCTTGTGTGAATGTGCAATTTTTATGACAAATGATGTAACATGAGATATGAGAACAAAGTCCTCCTTTGGCTTACCCTTCTCAAAGGCACAAACTGGAGAAGCTGATTAATTAATTTTTTTGCCATTTTCTTGCTATAACCTAGAGACTTGAATTAACTCAAATCAAACATCACTTGTTAAATACTATAGTATCAGTTATTGGACTAGATGTGTTTCATGATTTCTTTAATCTTTACAACAGGTCAATGAGGTCTCTCACAATGACAAGATGAAGATTCAGAGAGGTTAAGTAAGATGCCCAGAGCCACATAGGTAGTAATAGATAAAGATAGAGCTCAAATTCAAGTCAGCCACACACTGAAGCCTGGGCCCTTTCCGCGCTCTCTCTCAAGCAAAATTACTGAGCTTTCTGCTTGGAAGTGAGTCTAGGTCACTCCAAAGGCCAACTCGTGCCTTCTCCAGGAAGTCTTAAATGATCATTTATGTAAGTGCATCTTCTCACCTCTACTCTGATATTACTTTCTATTGCTTCTTATAGTTTGACTTTTATTTAAGCTGTGTGCCAGTGGGAAGGACAATATAATGTGACACTTAGAAAAGCATGGAATTTGGAGACAACTGGAATGTATTCCTTATTCTGCCTTTTCCTATCTGAGTCATTTTGGACAAAATTCAGCACAGCTTAAGATTCATGTTGTTGATGTGAAGATGAAAGGAGAGCATGTGTGGAAAGTTCTCAGAATGTGTCATGGTACATGGGAAGCACACAATATATGGTGGCTGGTTGGATGAATAAAAACAGCATAAATGAAGGAATAAATGGCAGTGACCTTTGCTTGTTTATAGGATCACCTCTTCAACATTGCACTCTGTGTCAGTTCAAAATGTAATTTTAAAAATATAAAAATGAATCTCATAAAGACTTGAGGAAGTCAAGTATATCTGACTGAGTTTCAGACTGCCCCACTGTAGTAGAAAAACCTGACTAAATCACACTAATTATAATGGTGTATACAACTTCTTAAAAATAATGGCCACTAAGACCAGAATATGTTGATTATTAACGAGCTGAAATATGGGATCTATTGTGTTGTGAGTTCCTCCAATCTATTTCAGAATGAAATAGAACAATGGAGGCCAATAGGAGACCTGGACTTGAAATCACAGGGTTCTTATCAGAATTTCAATTCCAATTCTACCATGTGTAATTATCTATGTGACCTCTATACACAATAAGCAGTAAATTTCATGGAACTACCAAGACTCCAGGAAGCCGACTCTGAATTGGAAATATATTTGTGTAAAGTTTATTGGGGGTGTTTTCTGGAGCAGCATATGTCAGGGGGTCAGAGAAGCAGGATTGGGTCATACTGGTTGCAGGTGACTTCCCAGGCATTTCTGGAGTTGGAATAACCCTTCAGGGCCGAATTGAAGAAGGAATGCCAAGACTTTGAAGCCTTGCAGACTGTCCCCAGGAGAAGGGTGTAGCATTAGACAGAGGAGCTCTCTTTGGCCAAGAGAGGACATTTCCTGAGAAGAAACATGGCTGTGAGATATCAACAACCCATAATTCCAGCAGCCGTGGGCATGAGTTTCTCAGTTCTGGAATCTGAGTGCAGCACCACAGCATCCACTACAGTGGTGAAAGAAGCATTGGAACTCAGGAAACCTGACCCCTCATGACTTCATTGTAATTTCTTTCCTTGAAACTCAATGACTATTATCATTTTCACTTCACAGTTCAAAATATAGAACCTCAGAGTTAAGTAACTTACCTAACATGCCAGAGATTGTAGGTACCAGGATATACCACTAAAGTCCATGCACATTCCCTAGGACCATACATCTGCCTACTTTGATAGCAAATGAAAAGTCACTCAATAGATTGCTAAATTGTTCAGCATTTAATCATTTGCTAAATCTCAGAAGATGCAAGGGGATTATGTGTGTATGTACTTGCACGCAATGTTTTAGAACAGGCAGATAGATATTAGCTGCTTCCCGCTGGAGGGTGGAAACACTCAAGACTTCAGAGGAGTAGCGGCAGAAAACCATTACAACACACTTCATATCAAGCAGATTTTGCGAGTCAAGTAATTGCTTGTAAACATAACACCATGCAATAAACCCAATATATATTATTTGGACTTCATAAAATAATTCCATATTATTTCTGTAAGTAATTTTTTGTATATCTCTGATGTTATGATGTACTCACTAGGGATATGGAGGTAAATGGATCTTATAGATTGGTGATAGAGTTGTGTTGGATTAGGACTTGAATATTGCAAGAGGTTTCTGCAGATGTGGTCACCCAGAGAATATTATAAACAGACAGATAATAGTCTTAAAACTTAACCCACTTCGTCATTGCAAATCTGAGATAAAAGGAGAGGAAGGAGGGAGGGGATTTACTGAAAGCAATAACTTATTTGCTCCAGCCTGGAAAATGTCCTACAACCTATGGAGCTGTACTAATGTGTGAATGGGCCTCAACATCAGTGCAAATCCCTGCAGGGTTAGTTGGTATAATCATTAGCCTATCCACTCACAGGATGCCAGCTTCTGGGCATCAGGAGCTCATGGAGGCACAGTAGCACCATGAGACTTGTCTTCAAAACAGGACTGGTCCATGCATCCACTTCTTCCTCCTCATAGACCCCATCTGCTGTGGGAAGTTAGGGCTTCACTCTGAGATTCTGTATTTTCAACTGTAAAGTGAAAATGATAATAGTCATCAAGTCTAACCATCTCCATTTTCTTAATATTTGCTCTCATTAGCCTGGGCCACCTCAGGATCTGTGTGTCTGCCTAAAGGCACAAACAGTTCTCCCAGGCCTCTCCCAACTAAAATGTGAGAGCAGAGTCCAGCAGGACACTGCATTTGCAAGTAGAATGACATGGACATGAGTCATGATTCTATCACTTTGTAACCAGTAGGCTGCTCAGTTTCTCTGGAGTTTGATTTCTTCATCTGCAAAATGAGGTTGGATGAGGGATAATAACCATTCACAATTGTGAGGAGCAAATGAGAATATTTGTGTTTTTAGAAGGAATTATATAAAAGTTCCATATAAATAATGATGTTGAGCTGGAGGGCTCTGCAGATGCATTTAGCTTGGGAAGAAGAAGATAAGCCTTTACTTGGAGGACAAGGCAGAATCACAGCTGCTGAATTTGTTCTGAAATGAATACAAGACACCTTTGTGAGCCACACTGACAAATTAGTCTGCCCCACTCCTCACGTGCTGGCTGTCAACTTGTGCCCCACTGCATCCTGTTCCCCATGTTCAAATTCAATGAAGGTCAGAGCAAACAGTCACCCATTGCAATTCTAGAAATCTGTTTTCTCCTATCCATTGCACATCTCAACCCATCACATTAGAATAACACAGTCAGATGCAATTAGCCTCAGACTATTCAATTACCCAACGGGTTTCCATATGTCATTAAGCATCGTCCTTGTGAGATCACAAGGGTGCCGCACACACAGAATGGTCATTTCTTCTACTTTGCACTTTCAGCAAATAAGACTTGAAGTCAGGTTGTCATGATAGTCTTGATTTAACATATCTAATTCCAGTAATTTAGAACTTTCATTGTATCTGAAAATGCTCAGGACCCATCACTGAGTGTCTATTTTGATTTCCCTGGAGGTTGAGAGGAGATGCCTTTCCAGGCTTCTGAGAAAACACATCCTTCTTGGGCCTTCATTTTCTTGCACAGGCTATTCTTCTTGCTATCAATATGTTTCCTTCTTATCTTAATTGGCAAAATCAGAACACAAGCTTCAAATTAGCCTCATGTGGAACTCACCTGTGCGTAAAGGTTTTCCTGAAGTTTGCAAAAGCAGAGAAAGTCACAGTCATGCCCCTTGTTCAAAACCCTTCTAAGCACATCGGCTCCAATTTCCAATTCTGCAGTGATTTGTTTAACTATATCCCTTTCCTGTAGACTGTGAAGTCCTTGAAGGATGGCACTGTATTTTGTTCATCTTTTTGATTCAGAACACTTAGTGTGAAATGAGCCTGAAATTATAAATTGAATAGATGAATAAATATACATGAATATAAAATAGATACTGTTTTCAAATGTTTATTTTCAACAGAAATATTGAACTCATTGTCTTTTTGTGAGGTGACATTCATTTTTTGAACACCATGCAAAATTATGCTGGCTATTTTCCAAGGAATAAAACAATGGAAAATTATACCAGAAAGATGAGATTTCTTCACTTCCTCCTTTCTCCACTGTGGGTAAGTTTATGATTTTTTTTTTTTTATTTCTGCGTTAGCTATGGGCTGCTATAACATGCATAATTATTTAGTGGACTACTAGACTTAATGATAAGGTCTGTCTGATATGCAGAATGATGTCTTGGAACTGTCACAGCTGAGTTGGGAGAAAGATATAGCTCAAGATGAATGGCTGAATTCAGATTAAATCATCACTCTTTGGCCATCTACTAAAGATTGGATATGGTCCTGAAAACATGACCTACATTATCTTAATAGCCAATTGACGCTAGCACTGCCGTAGTGCAGGTGTAGAAAGGGAGGCCCACAGAAGTGATTTAATTTGCTAGAGATGACCCAGCTATTAAGCATATGCTGAGTCCAGATGTCCAGTTTCACACAGACTGGGAATGGGCTGGGATTCAGAGAGGACATGGGAGTGCTTAGCTAGTGGATGTGTCTCCAAGATAGCCAAGTCCGTGCCAACCCTGAGGTTCTGTGATCTGTGTGGCTTGGTGATGACCTCTACTGGCTAAACTTCCTGGGCTGGCAAAATGCAGTGAGGTTGGAGATGGGGGGGAAGAAAGGCAAAGGATCTAAGTTTGAGTATTAGTCTAGTCACCTGTTGGATGCATTGGGTATTTCTTGCTTAATGCCACTGTTCTGCCTATGTCCTTCCATGGCTCCCCAGTGCTCTTTGCACAGAGATCATGACTCTGTCAGTTGCTGCATGGCCTGCCTCTCCTTCCCACTCCAGCCTCAACTCATTCCATACCCTGCTCCCTGCCTTGGTGCTGGGCATACCAGGAGGCTTCAGAGCCTGTTCTCTCTTGCCTTTGCAAGTGCTGTTTATTCTGCCTAGAATTCTCTTCTCATCTCTCTTGTGCCACCTGAAATAAAGCCTTTTCATCTTTTAGCTCTCAACCCAAGCGTTTCTCAAGGCAAGCCCTTCTGCTGCCCCAGGGCCAGCTCACCTTCCGCTGTGAGTCCCGGTCTTCTTTTCCTTCAGAGTACCTCACTTGCTTTGCAGGTAGCATTCGCTAATGGATTCGGTAATTAATATTGGTCTTTCCTTTTAGACTGGAATCTCCATAAGAGCAGGGACAGTGTAGCATGGCTGGCACAGATCGTGTTGTCTACTCACAGGCAGCTACTATCTAAACATTTGCTTGCCCTCTGTGAATCCCAGATAGCCTCCATTCTGTGTGAAACGAGATTATGGTGGTTGGCAAATCAAAATTTGTGATTCACTTTCAAAAAACTGTTTGCCATTTCTTCAGAGTACAAACTCTAATTGGTCATAGTGAATGAATGGAGAAGGAAGGAGTAGACGCAACTGGTCTTATCATTGCTTAGCTGTCTGTAAGACCTGACAGACTGGATTAAGAAAATGTGGCACATATACACCATGGAATACTATGCAGCCATAAAAAAGGATGAGTTTGTGTCCTTTTTAGGGACATGGATGCAGCTGGAAACCATCATTCTCAGCAAACTATCACAAGAACAGAAAACCAAACACCGCATGTTCTCACTCATAGGTGGGAACTGAACAATGAGATCACTTGGACTCGGGAAGGGGAACATCACACACCGGGGCCTATCATGGGGAGTGGGGAGTGGGGAGGGATTGCATTGGGAGTTATACCTGATGTAAATGACGAGTTGATGGGTGCTGACGAGTTGATGGGTGCAGCACGCCAACATGGCACAAGTATACATATGTAACAAACCTGCACGTTACGCACATGTACCCTGGAACTTAAAGTATAATAATAATAATAAATTAATTAATTAAAAAAAAAGACTTGAGCTGCAGAGTTCTTGTTATTTTGTGAGTTTTTGACCTCTGGAGGAGAATTCCAGAGCTGGTCTACCTATCTAACTAGGAGCCCATGTTCATAGTAAAATCAATTCTTCATGTAGTATGGAGTTGCGGGATTGGTAAAAGCATTGACTTTGGAACCGGACCGCCGGGATTCTATCACTTATTAGCTCTGTGAATTTAAGTGACTTACTTAACCTGTCTCTGACTTAGTTTTGCCATCTGTAAAGTGGGGGCTATTACAGTATTTATGTTGTATGGTTGTTGTTAAGATTAAATAATTTATATTTATTTTACAAAGTGTTTATAATAGTTCCTGACATATAGTACATGCTGTATAAGTAATTTCTATTATTTTTATTTTTTTTGGAGATGGCACATGCTATGCCTTTTCAAGTGCCAGCCCCTATAACCACTTCCTTCCTAGGCATCCTCCCATTTCCCCAGTAGCTATAGCTGTTTCTGCCTCCCTTCTAATCTGAGTTGCTAAAAATTGAGGGTGTCTTACTCGTAATCTGTGTTGGCTTATGACAATATTGGTTGCTTTTTCCGTCTATTTCCCATTGCAAAGGCTTAGTTCTCCACTAGTAGGAAATGGTCCTGTTGTCTCAATTATACTTGGGCTCTGCCCCAAGAAAATTTGATTGACCAGGTGCAATCAGGCAACAGGAGCAATGCTAGTGGGGGAGAGCTTGAGAAAGGTGGCTTTTGCTGGTTCATACCAGCAATGAACAGTCAATACAGTTCAGCTCCCCTGTGCTAAGTGGAGCTGCAAGTTTCAATGTGAGTCTGTGTGCTCACTCACTCTCCCCTGATCTCTCAGTGGGCTCCTTAGCTGGCAAGCTGGCATTACACAAACAGGAATGCTAATGAAATGCCTTTCCAAGATGGGCTGCCAGGCAATTTAAACACAGAACTAGTTATTAAGGCTCTCTAATGGCATAAGAGAGTTGAGACTAAAGTCTGAGTTGGCTAAGGCAGAGAATGTTGTCTGGTATGGAAGACAGAATCCAGGCTGTACCAAGACAGACATCAGTGACCTTAGGGAAAGTCCCTTCCTCTCTGTGGCCTTCCCCATGTGTTAAAGCAAAAAGCTCATTCATCCATTCAACACACATTTATTGAGCTTCTACTGTGTTCCAGGCACTGCTGGAGAGATGAACTCTCAGATGCATTATGTTGAAATCATTTTGTGACATACATGACTGAAAGTTCAAATATGGTGAACCTGGGGACAGGAGCAGATGGACTGCAATATCTTAATCTGTGTAATCAACACGTGGCAGAAAGTGTGGTGCATAAGATGAGCTCTGAAAATATTTGATGTTCTTTTAAAAATTCTGCTTTTGACTTTCTTACTTTCTAAAATGTTTGTATACTATTTTATTGATGTAGTTTTTCATATTGATTATTTTCTTCCTTCTATTTACTTTGGGTTTACTTTGTACTTCTTTTTCCAACCTTTGAAGGTGGAAACATGAACCACTCTTAGACTTTTATTTTTATAAAGTTGTAAAATTTCCTCTAGCACTGCCTTAGCTGTGAATATTTTTTTATTTGCTGTATTTTTACTATGATTCTTTCAAATATTTTAATGTCCTTTGTGATTTCTTTTTCAACCTATGTGCTATTTGGAAGTGTGTTGTTTAATTTCTAAATATTTGCATATTTTATGTTTTTAGTTATTGAATTCTAATGTATTTCCTTTGTACTCAGAAATAGAGTTGGTAAGCACTGTGGTATTTCCTGCGAGCTCTCGAAGAGACTGGCTCTATATATGTACAACCTAGCTCTGGGCCAAGGATCCACTGAGATTTCCCCATCCAGCATTCTGAGGACTCTTGTCTGAATAGTGCCCTTCTCTTTGTTAATCTGCGTTGCAAATTCCAGTTTGCATTCGCAGCCCTCAACTTTAATCTCTGCCACCCCAGCTCAGCAACACTGCCGTGCTTTCCTTGGGCTCCATCTCCTTGTGACATGCAGATCCCTGAAAATTCCCTACGGCAGAAAGTTGAGAAACATTGATCTCACCACACGTGTTTGCTTTTTTGCTAGCATTGCAGTCCTCCTCCAAAAAATGCTTCACCTATTTTGTTCTGTTTCATAGTTGTTTACCTTTGTGAAGGGAGGAAGAACAGTCTAGGTAACACCCATACTCTGTTGCAGCCAAACCCAAAATATTACTTTTTAATTTAATCTTATTTAAGTTGTTAATATTGACATAACCAGGTGGGTTCTGGAAGTTTAGGTTTTAAAATGCATATTTTTAAATTTCCAAAGTGTGCTTATTTTATTTTTGCCAGGGCCATCTTTTAGGTTTTTAATGTAACTTTTCTTTGCCTATCTAATTGTGATTTATTTCTGTTTATACATTTTGAAGAAAAAATTATTAAATCATCTTTTTTGCCATTTGTGAGCTTCCATCATTTCGAGCAACTAAGTTGTGCCTGCAATTGCTATATAAAACCTCTTTCTAACAATATCTGAACAGTGCTTTTTACTTGATGTTTTTTAAAGATAACATAAAGAACTAGTTACAAATGACTAATTTAATACATAAGATCAACTGTGAATGACTTACTAATTGGTTTACTTAAGCACAATGTCATCATCTCACAGTGAAATGATATCCTGATAAATCTCTAACAGGTCGATGCCTCCCGTCTGTGCCCACTCAGGTGACAGTGAGTACTTTAGTAACATATTCTGGGTAATACTGCTCTCTTGTGCTTGATTAGATGTTCTTACTAATTCATATCTGATTTTACACATTTTGCTGAATCTCTTCTCTGGTTCATGCTTGTCCATGCCAGGTGTGCCAAATAATTCTGTTTCAGATAAGTCACTACCTTGTATCTGTGTGGAAAGTGTAACTCCAGAGACTTGTCAAATTCTTCATTTGTAATTCCTTATAGAACACCAATTATGAATAGCTTTCATTTATTGCACTTTTACAAAAGCTATTTTTGTTTCTATTGCCTATTGCATTCATCCATAAAAATGCTGAAATTTAAAGGACTTTTTTCCCTCCTTCAAAGTATACTCTGTAAAAATTACTTTGCTTAAGCTCTTGTTATCTGAGAATGGCTTCTGTCTATAGCAAGGAGAGGGGATTAGGCTGCTAGGGTTTGGATGAAAAAATAATACAAGTTTATGTTATCTTTAAAAAAGCCTGTTTCACTTGGTCAAAGGTTATTGATGCTATACTTAATTCCTGTGTCATATTGTAAAATAATTCCTAGATGTAATCATCTTAGGTTTTGCCTTTACTTATTTAATACTCATTTAAGATGGCAAAAATGATTTAGTAACATTTATTTTGGTTATTTGAAAGCTTTTTTTTCTTACTCATTGATTCTTTCACATATTTCTAATAGATAAGACTGCTAGTGCAGTGAATTCTTGTAGATGAAGTATTATTCTATCTTCTATTCACTTGTATTGATTCATCCAGTGGATAGAATTTAAAATCACAAGTGCTACGATTTTAGGGAAAATAATCATCCTCCATACTCTGGAGGTTACAAAATAAACAAATTTCCAGTGCTCAAGTTGCTCAAAACATAGATAAAGGTCAGGCAAAGTTACATGTAAAATTAAATGACAACTCAAATTTTTTAAATGGAAAAAATTAAGGAAGTTTTGTAAAAAATTAATGGTTGGGCAAATAATGTAGACAGTTCATAGAAGAGACTGAAGATGGGAGTGGCTAAAAAAGCTTTTTATAGAGATTGTGTTGTCAATTGTATAACCTTTGTATACTTATTATACAGAGAAAAAACCCTTGCTGCTTAAACCCTTTGATTGTGTTTCTGTGCAAAGGTTTAGAAGGCTCTTTGTTCTTTGAAATACAACAGGCCATGCTGTCAAAGTTACCATCATATCTCCATCCTATTTAATTCATAACATCTCATCCCTCTGCTCTCTTTGTTCCAATAGAGAGCCTTGAGCTTTCTAGAGCCCCAACTTTCCACTTTCATTGTTGCCTCCTCACTCGCAAGGCTATCCAAGGTTCCCTTGAGGCCAACAATGGGATCAGCTCCATATTCTAATTCCAAACAAGCTTGCAGGCCACCATGAACTTCTACGTCCAGGTCACAAGTGCTGGGATAGGCTCCAGCCACCCATGACCCTGAACTGAAATAATCGGGTAAATAATTATCTTGTTTTTGTTAATCCTTCATATATTTTTATATATATATATGAAAGACTATATGTATATATGAGAAAGATTTTTCATATATATGGAAGATTTTATATATATAAAATAATTTTCATTTTTTATATATATATATATATATATATATAAAGTATATATGAGACAGAGAGAGCGAGAAAGTGCTCACATTTGTTTCAATGTTTACCATTAGAAGTGC